AGAGATGCATTTTAAATAAAAGGACACATTCTACTCATGTAAAAACATGCAGATTCCCTGACCGTCCGCGGGCCAGATTGAGAAGGCAACTGGGCTGCATCCGGGCCTTAGGTTGCCTACCCCTGGCCAAGCACATTTCAGACCTCTTGAATCCTCAGGTGTATTGGTTGAGCCTCCAGAGTAATAACAACTACACTCATTGGTTTTTCGGCAACTCCTCACCAAGTTTGGCCAATGTCAGGTGGCTTTCTTTGCCTCCAACAAGAATTATCACCACCCATGGTTTCCACAAATCCTCCATTGTACAGTCTCTCCTCCATGGCACATACATATCCACACAGAGTCAAATAATTAAATCCTCTCATGATTATTTACATATTTTCATAAAGTAAAATATAAAGAACATAATTCACATTTTTCTAAGCAACCTAAAAATACCAATCAAACAACATATTTCATGAGTTTCTTAAATTGCACCCAAGGGTTTTATAGAATCCTTCAAGTTCCCATACCTAATAAAAATATTTTTTTCAATCAAAATATTATTATTAGCCTGTCAACCTTCCTTGTCTCTGACCAAAATTAGTCAGTTTGTTCATTTACACAAATTTGTAATAGCCACTGAAATATAGAGGTTTTTCTCCCTCGCCCTCACCCCATAACAACTGATAGACATTATAGTTACTGTGAGAAAATAAATGATAATTTTTCAGTCTTCTGTGGAAATTACTGATTTTACATAACCATACAAATTGAGGGTAAAGATTTTGACCAGTCATTTTTTCAATAATGACAAAAATCACCTCCAACATTTCTTTATCCTACAGCATGTTCAGAACTGTGTATATGTATAATTCTGATATATAATTAATACTGTGCTGTGACCTAAGGAAGCAACCAAGTTAAGGGGCAAACATGCTTTGTAAATCAGTTTATTTCAATTTACAAGCAGAGATATAAGTATTTCAAAAAATACTGCTGCTGTGGCTGCTGATTAAATTTTATATCTATTTTGTACCCTTTGCAGTAGAACCTGGATTGTATTCCAAGTCATACTCAAAGCAGACCCATTGAAATTGCTTCACTTAAAGTCAGTCATGTCCATTGATTTCATTAGGTCTACTCATAGTATCTCTTAGTTTGATTCAACCCATAATTTGTATTTCATAATGGGTTTATTTTCTTGCCATGTAGGAGTAATAATAATAATAATAATTATTATTATTATTATTATTATTATTATTTATTTATTTATACCCCGCCCATCTGGCTGGGTTTCCCCAGCCACTCTGTGTGGCTGCCAACTAAATATTAAAAATACAATACAGCATTAAACATTAAAAACTTCCCTAAACAGGGCCGCCTTCAGTTGTATTTTAAAAGTAAAATAGTTATTTGTTGCCTTGACATCTGCTGGGAGGGCATTCCACAGGGCAGATGCCACAACCGAGAAGGCCCTTTGCCTGGTTCTCTGTAACCTCACTTCTTGCAGCGAGGGAACTGCCAGAAGGCCCTTGGCACTGGACCTCAGTATCCGGGCTGGATGATGGGGGTGGAGATGCTCCTTCAGGTATACTGGCCCGAAGCCGTTTAGGGCTTTAAAGGTCTTTGAATTGTGCTCAGAAATGTACTGGGAGTCAAGACTCTTCCCTTAATTTCTGTTTTTGTTGTTGTTGTTTAGTCGTTTAGTCGTGTCCAACTCTTTGTGACCCCATGGACCAGAGCACGCCAGGCACTCCTGTCTTCCACTGCCTCCCGCAGTTTGGTCAAACTCATGCTGGTAGCTTCGAGAACACTATCCAACCATTTCGTCCTCTGTCATCCCCTTCTCCTTGTGCCTTCCATCTTTCCCAACATCAGGGTCTTTTCCAGGGAGTCTTCTCTTCTCATGAGGAGACCAAAGTATTGGAGCCTCAGCTTCAGGATCTGTCCTTCCAGTGAGCACTCAGGGCTGATTTCCTTCAGAATGGAGAGGTTTGATCTTCTTGCAGTCCATGGGACTCTGAAGAGTCTCCTCCAGCACCATAATTCAAAAGCATCAATTCTTCGGTGATCAGCCTTCTTTATGTTCCAGCTCTCACTTCCATACATCACTACTGGGAAAAGTAGATCAGGATCCACCACTAGATCTTTGGGTGATCTGAAGTATCAGCAAGGATTTCTAACAATGGCAATAGCAAAGTAGGCTGCTGAATTGAAGAAAGTTGTGTGTGAAATGGGAGCAGGATAAATTGGAGTGGGGTTTTGTTTTTGTTTTTTAAGGCCTTTTGTTCAGTTCTGGTAATCAAAACCCCTGTATTTTGCACCAGACTCTGGTTGGTAGGTTTTGTGGTTCTAGTTAAAACACAACCAAATGCCAGCCTGGAGTCTGCTCATACCTGCTACAGGCTGTTAGCAAATCACTCCTCCATTGCTGATATGTGGCTGGATAGTCACATGTCACTGTGGAGGATTGATTTTCTGAGAACACAGGCCACATGAGACAAAATTAGCTTATCATATAACCTGAGACAAAAGGCACATCCCCATACAGTTTTACAGTTGATTAGTCATATGTTATATGGACAACCAACTTCCTCTTTAAGGTGTAGGTTTTGAAGGCTGGTTGTTCAGTGGACCTTTAATTATCTTCAAAATGTTGGTGTGGAATTTCTAAAACTTGTCTCCTTACCCTGTTGATAATACTTGAGATGAAAAAAATATGCCTATCCTTCTGGATGATAGCTAATGAGAAACATACAGAAAGCAGCAATGCAGACATGCCCTGATTTAACAGTCTCATGGAACACAGTAGTGCAAGGATTATAGATTTCAGGAACAGTTTGCTCTTTCGAATTCCAAATAACTGTTTTATGAATTCAGCACAGGAATATTTGGTTTTGAATTTTTGCATACATGCAGTATTTTTCCAGTATTGCACTGAAAGAAAAACAGAAATGTTTCTTCTCCTGATTTTAAACTGTGACATCTTAAACTTCTCAAAATAGATTATGTGTAATTCCTCAGCACATTCACTTGGAAGCAGTTGTTTTGCTAGAATATTCTTCTAAGTGGGCTAGGCTGAGCATCTCCATTTATGGGCCATATTAAAACATTTTAGGATGTTATGCATTTGCTACCATGCTCAAATAATGGGCCAAGAAAGGAAAATAAGCATCTCCTTTAAAATACCTTAAAAATTCCTACTGGTACATAGAAGTCAAGAAAATTAGCAAAGTATAGGTTACACAGAAACACATGCCTAACTATGAGATAACAATCTCTCTTTCAAACTTATAATTTTGCTATCTTTCAAAAATATGATGAACTGTTCCTATGCAGGGAACAAATCAGTTATGAAGAACAAACTGGCATAGAGAAATAAATAAATCAAATTTAAGCCTCGTAGTTTATTGAATCTAAATTTTGCCTGGTTAGCCTAAGAGCTATATATAAGCAATCCATCTTGTGTTGATAATGGAGGATCTTGAGACCCACCTAATGTTTGCATTATTAAATTTCAGTCTAATGAGCTTTGCTAATACATATTGAAGATGGTTGTAAGGAGTGGAATGTGAATCTGAGCAGGATAATTTGAAAGAAACATAAGCTGAGCATTTTACATGACTCAAGGGGTATAGCTACAATTACATGTATAACCAAAATTGAATTTAAATGGAATTTCTATTATCCTTATCCTGCTACTAGGGAGAATAAAGTGTAAATGAAGTAAAAGTCTTTACAGTTATCAGTGGTTTGTTTTTATTATCTAATTTAATAGATTCTTGTAAAGATATTGCTGGCAGAAAAGTTTTAATATTTCATGACTTTAAATGTAGCCTAAGTGTGTCTAAAAGCTTGGAAATGGAAACAGATGTCTCTGTAATTGCTTCTATCATTTCAGAGCACCAGTATTTAAATTGTATATTTTAAGAAGGTGTAGCTACTAAATACAAAGAGACATTAGACTTTGAAAGTTGTGGTCATGTGTCATTCATGTACTTCATACTCACTATGTCAATTGAATATTCATATAACTAATGTATTGGTGCAGCAAACTAACGTAGAGCAAAACAGCCGGTATACTAGGCATATAATGGATTTATTACATATTAAGGGCTGGTCTAAAGTCTAACTACCCACGTTTTGGTTCTTCATCTTTCGACTTGGCAGTACTTTTAAAAACTTAATATTTCATCAACTATAATGCTATTAGAGACTTATTCCAAGTTCACTCATCAGGCAGTGAGATGGCAATAAAAGAGAATGGCCCCTTTGAGACATTAACGCTTTGGAATAAATGATGTGCTAGAACAGAAATTTAATTAATTTACAGAGTATATTGATAGTCCCTTGTTACTGTGCTGTATATTTTTAATCTTCTTTAACATCTGTAGTAAAGTGTTTAAAACCCCTGCAGTTGAGCAACTTGTAGATAATTAAGTAATAAGGGAAGCTGTTTCTAAAGGAAAGGAGACTCTTCTTAGAAGATGCTGTAATAACATGAATTAAATGCTGCTGCTATGGCTTGCACTGAAGAAAAATATATGTAGAGGCCCTGATCCATCAAGTGAAACTCTGTTGTGTCTACAGAAGGAAACAGGAAGCAGTACAAGGTTTCTTCATCCAACAGACCAGTTGCAAAGGGGGCCCCAGGGTATGGCATGCTTTGCTTATGGAGCCCAAACACTGGAGACATAGAGCCCATGAGTGCTTCAGTCTATTATCTAGTGGAAAGGTATTGGGAAGAAAATGTGTGGTGGGATACTTCAAAGCATCCACATATCTCAAAGATAGTCTAAGGAAAATGTTCAGCTGCTCTAATGGTTTCTTCTTTGAGCATCATGTATGTATTTTATACAGGGACAAGTTGGGACTTGAGACAATCCCTTCTTGTGTCCACAGTAAATTGCATTTTCCATAGGACAAAAGAAGTGTCTTTCTGACCATCCCTTATAAGAAGTTGTTTTATCAAAAATGTTAATTACTGAACAACTAATTAGCATTTTATTTATTTTTAGCAAAAGCTGATGAAGCGTTAAAAGCTAAAGAAAGAAGTGAAGAAGAAGCAAAGAAGAAAAAGGAAGAAGGTAATTCAGCTTTGAAATTTAGATGAACTATAAGTACTGTTTTTATAGCGAGATAGATACAGATACATACGCAAGCCCTGGTACATGTTCAACCCAAAGCAAGTGAGTTATTTGGCATATACAGAGCACGAGACCCTAATAACTAGACAAGTCTGAAAGAGAGACATTTGTACATTTTATCTCTCAAATTATTCCCCTGAATGGTTAAGGTACTTCCAAAATATCCTTAAAACTGAACTTTTGTCTATGCATAGCTCAAAACACATAGTTTATAATTAGAGTCAAGTAGTAGTTCCAGATTAGTAGAAAATAAGACATTTTTACACCAGAGAAAACATAGGACATAACTATTATGGAGATCAGCTTTTCTGCACAGAGTAGGTAAAGTTGAACATGGGACACAATGTTGGGTTGTGTGAATTTTATTACTTCATAACATTTAGTTTTGTGGGAAGAGGTTAGTCCAAAATCAGCCAGTAATAATTATCTATTCTTGAAGAACTGACGCTTCATTTACAAGTGGGTGCGCTTGTATGTTTCCTACTAGTAGCTATAGATACTGCTGTTCACCTCAGTTTCCTACAAAAAAAAAATAGTTTCATGTTCAAGCACCTGAGACGGAGAACTCTGATATCTAGGGGAGAGGATTAGCCTTTTGGTGTATTGCATTTTAAAAATAGTAGACAAGTGTTTCTCTGATGGATTGGTACGGAGAGAAGCACTAACAAAATGGTGTAGAATGGAGTTGAATTGCTCATCAGCAGGCACATCCCATACAATATTCAATAGATGTCCATGGATGTTCATAAGATTACATTCTACTCATCCTAGTAGCAGCTGCACTATTGGGGGGGGGGTAGCATTTTAGGTTAAAATGTTGAGCTTTCAACATTCAGAAGGTACCCCTGCAAGTGAAGACTTAACTTGAAGAAAAATTCCTTGAAGAAAAATTACCAATCATGCCTTCATTACATAGAAAAATGTTTTTATGGAGTGACCCTAGGTTGTAACATTGGTAGGTTGATTCATTGGTAGCCTGCTGTTTTCTCCAATTAGTCTTTTTGAGATCCCCACAAGTTTTGTGCTAGAAACATGTTCACGAGCTTTAAAATACTTCCTGTATGAAACACTGGTTTAATACAACCTGAAAACTTGAGGTCAGTGAATTGGGATATGTAATTTTTATTCTGACAAAAGCAGACATATTGAGAGAGCTTATCCCCCTTCTGCCTATAGTAATCCCAAAGGCCATACTATCTTGTCTCCAAGTCTTCCTGTTCTCTAAATATCAGCATTTGGTGTGCATAGTTAAATTGGATGATGGAGAACTTCTCTAACTAGATGGCTAATATACAGGCAATTGATTGACACAATATACTGAACTTTCCTGATGTGCAATGCAAAACTGAAAATCTAAAACATAATTAGCCTCATAGATTTTAAGCTAATAATTTTATTGCTTCTCAGTAACTGAAGCAGAGGTGATTATAGATGTTCAAATTTCATAAACTTTTCAGTTTAATGATCTATTCAAAAATGGTTGAAGCTTTATTCCCTTTAACTTCAAAGCACACTGGGCACTCATTACATCTGAAGAAAATCTTTTCTTTTATGTTAATTTTCTAATTAAGTTATCCAGATACACTGTGTGCATGTATTATAATAGACATATAGGCTTCTCACATTTAGCAATGTCCATTGTGACAAAAGATAAAACTGCTAAAGTTATTGCCACCTCTAGGCCAGTACCTCTACTCTTGAAGCAGTAATAACCGAGAACAAGAGTTACCTGCATTTTCCCTGCCTTGAGACCCTAGCATGCTTTTAAGGCATCTGGGTAGGTTTTTGTAGTTTTACTTTGACTTAAAGCTTAAATTGGAAAGTATTTAAAAGGGCATTGTGTGAAAGTAAAACTGGATAACTCAACTGTGCTTCATGGACATCCTATCTTCAAAGTGGAATGTAGCTTCCTCTAACTTAGTCTGTCATCTCAATAGTACTCAGCAGGTGATTAAGCACTTTCAAGTCTGGGAGCTTTCATGTAAGAAGTTACATCAGGAGTGTATTAAGATCCCAGGGCAACTTGTTCAACGTGAAAGTGATTTGTTTGCCTTTGTGGAATCTTTATGATGCCAGAGCCTGGTCAGCTTGAAAACAGAGGCTAGGGCCCAAAACTCCTCCCAATCCATTCTGTCCTAGGAGCAAAGCATAGATGATGTGGGAGAATTGTGCACACATCAGCCAGGGGAGAGGGAAGGAGCTTGGGCAGCAGGTGAGGGGAGAGTCTGCTTCCTGTTGTGCCATTCATTCATTCATTTCCCATCTCTCTCCACCACCCCGCCCTGCCCAGCGGCTATTAATCCACAGGAGAGATAAGACAGGTATCCTATTGTGCCTCCCCCACAGCAAATCTGTTGTCAGGTTTCTTTTTCTTTCTTTCTTTTTTGAGGGTGGGAAATTTCAACCAGAGAAAATGTTGTAGGAGAGAAGGGTTAAATACCTCCCACAGCACTGCTGTTCTGAGGCTGCTTTTAAGTTTTTATAAAGATTATCACGTCAAGATACATGCAGTTTTCCTCCTAGCTACAAGTTTATATTCTTTATTCCGAAGTTAATCAGAAGTGGTGTGCTACCTGGCTTTCTAAAATGTCTATCAAATTAAGACTATATTTCAAGCCAAACTACGTAAAAGTCCAAAATACTCCTTCCCCATTTGTAGTTCAGTAAAGATATTGTGTGATATGCAGTCCATAATCTATTCTAGAGCTATATACTGGTTGCTCAGAGATTTCTTCATTTCCCGTATTGTTCTGGGTTTACAATTGATTCTGAGAGTAAATGAAACTCCAGTTGTGAACCATAACGATACTAACTAAATTCTTGGAGAGAAATGATTTAGTAGTAGTTCATTTATTGATTGCTTCCTATGAAGGGCATCCAGTGATGCTGAACATTGGAAGATTCAGGACAGACAACACATAGTGCTTCTTCACACAGCACCTGATTAAAATAAGGAATTCACTTCCACAACCAATAGTGATGGCCATCACCTTGAGTAACTTTAAAAGAGAGCTAGACAAGTTATTGGAAGATAAGACATATCAAAGGCTACTAGCCATGATAACTATTTTTTCTATACCACTGTCAGAAGTGGAATAATAATAATAGTAGTAGTTATTATTATTTATACCCCGCCCATCTGGCTGGGTTTCCCCAGCCATTCTGGACGGCTTCCAACAGAATATTAAAACACAATATAGCATTAAACATTAAAAACTTCCCTAAACAGGGCTGCCTTCAGATGTCTTCTAAAAGTCAGGTAGTTGTTTATTTCCTTGACACCTGATGGGAGGGCGTTCCACAGGGCGGGCACCACTGCCTGGTTCCCTGTAACCTCACTTCTCGCAGTGAGGGAACCACCAGAAGGCCCTCAGTGCTGGACCTCAGTGTCCAGGCTGAATGATGGGGGTGGAGACGCTCCTTCAGGTATACTGGGCTAAGGCCCTTTAGGGCTTTAAAGGTCAGCACCAACATTTTGAATTGTGCTCAGAAATGTACTGGGAGCCAATGAAGGTCTTTCAGGACCAGTGTTATATGGTCTCGGGGCCACTCCTACTAGGACACACAAATGGGTAGTGTTGTGCTTAGGTCCTGCTGTTGATCTAGGCATAGTCATCTGATCAGTCACTGTAAGAACAAGATGGTGGACCAGATGGGCCAGTGGTCTGATCTGGCAGGTTCTTACATCCTTATCTTGAAGTGATGGCTCCATCACAGTGTCCAGTGTCATCCAGCATGTAAAGAAATCTGGGGGAAGGCACAAGTTATATTGGTCCTACTGTCACCACTTCAGAGTCCAAGCATATTTCACTCATATCCTGAACTGAATTAAAAGGAAATAGACAAATACACCCCACCACCAAATCTGATGACCACAATTTAGCACCAGCCCTAGAGCCCCCAGAAAGTTGGTTGGGTGGAAGTGACCAATGGGACTATACACTGCTGAAAGGTTCTGTCTCTGAGCTATCCAGTAGAGCCAGTAAAGATTAACAAAGCAGATAGAAATTAAAATTAACAGTATGTAAAACTGAGGGCAATTTTGAGGGAGTATGGCATCTCTAAAGGGATCTTGCAAGAGGGAGTTGAATGTCAGTGAGGGGAAGTCCTTCCAACAAGGAAAGTAAAAGGTGTGTCAGGATTTTGCAGTCATTTATGTGGGGGCAGGAAATAAGACAATACCTGGCATTTCCAGTAAATGTATATAGTCATCAATGGACATGGTGCAGCCTTTCCCAACCTAGTGCTTTTCAGATAATTTGGATTACAACTGCCAATCAGCCTCAACCTCAATCAGCACAACCATGCTGTCTGAGACTCATGAAAATTGTAGTCCAGAATATCTAGAAGACAGAATATCTAGAAGTTAAAGAAGGCTGCCATAGTTCTTTAAAAAGTAATTTAACTAAAAAACAGGTATTTGCCCCAAAGAGCTTACAGTGTGAACTTTGACCAGCAGGGGAAATAATAGTTTCCTGTATTTTTGAAAATATGTCCCCGTTTGAAGACTGAATTTTGTCAGAAATTCTGCCACTGGTTCAGTAACAGATACTTTCAGTATTAAGAATTCTGATGATGTAATTTGCTTGAAAAATAATCTGAAATGAAATCCAGGTTGAGGCCAAAATACCTTTTGAAATGATTTCAAGGAATTAGCATGTTAGAAAATCGTTTAATTGGTGTAGGAGGGGGAAGAAAACCAGATAACCACAAAATTCTTATAGGTGCTTTTGGCAAAGCTAGATGTATGAAAGTTAATATCTGAAGGAAATATGAGGAATAATTGTTGTCTTACTATTAACTTTTGTTGAACCCCCCCCCCATTAGCCATATTTTATCTGAATACAGGTTGTATCCAACTAAGTTATACACAGAGTAGACCCAGTGAAATTTATGGATTTAAGTTAGTCATGTGCATATTGCCATGACTAACTTAAAGC